GCCTGTCCCCCCCCCCAGCAACGAGAAGACCCCCTACGAGAAGATCATCGGGGGGAAGTACATGGGGGAGATCGTCCGGCTGGTGCTGCTGAAGCTGGTGGACGAGAACCTGCTCTTCAACGGGGAGGCCTCCGAGAAGCTCAAGACCCGCGGGACCTTCGAGACCCGCTTCGTGTCACAGGTCGAGAGGTACGGGGCTGGCGGGGCTGCGGCAGGGGGCCGGCACCCCCAAACCAGCCCTCTCTGCTGCCCCGCACTGGGGGTCTTCCGTCCTGTCACCCCACGCCGGTCCAGGTGCATTGGGGTGTCTGTCCTGTCACCCCACACCAGGCTGTCCCACGTGGGGGTCCCCTGTCCCATCGCCCCACAGCAGCCTGCTCTGACTGTCCCATATTGGGGTCCCCGTGTCCCGTCACCCCACACCAGCCCTCTACAGCTGCCCCATATTGGGGTCCCCTGCGCCATCACCACACGCCAGCCTTCTACGGGGGCTCCCCATGTCCCCCCGTCCCCTGGCCGACGCACCCCTCTCCCCCCGTCCCAGCGACTCCGGCGACCGCAAGCAGATCTACAACATCCTGACGGCCTTTGAGCTGCTGCCCTCGGGGACGGACTGTGACATCGTGCGGATGGTCTGCGAGAGCGTCTCCACCCGCGCCGCCCAGATGTGCTCGGCCGGGCTGGCCGGCGTCATCAACCGCATGCGGGAAAGCCGGAGCCAGGAGACCCTCAAAATCACCGTGGGGGTCGACGGCTCCGTCTACAAGCTCCATCCCAGGTGAGGACCCCCAGGAGCCTTCCTCCCGCCATGGTCCCCTTCCTCCTCCTCCTGCATCCCCCAAGCCTTGACCCCGTTTTTTTTCCCCTCCGGCAGCTTCAAGGACCGCTTCCACGCCACGGTTCGGCAGCTGACGCCCGGCTGCGACATCACCTTCATCCAGTCGGAGGAAGGCAGCGGGCGCGGGGCCGCGCTCGTCTCGGCCTTTGCCTGCAAAATGGCCTGCATGATGGGGCAGTGAGAGAGGACTCGGGTGGAGGATGAGGAGGAGGAGGATGATGATGATGATGAGGGGAGGGGGGGAGGACGGTGGTCCCGCTCGGAGCTCTGCAAGGAGCAGAGACGGACACGGGAAGGGATTTGCCGCCGGTGAAGGCAGCTCCCGGCTCCCCAATAAATGGGGTTTGCGTGGACTTCTCCTCTGGGGCCGCTTGAGTGAGAGCTCTTTGTCTTCCTCATGCTCGCAGGGAGAGCCCCCGTGGGGCTGCCCCACACAGGGGGACCCACGCAGGGAGCGGGACCCCCGTGCACCCTCCCAGCCCCTTCGCTGGGGGTGAGACCCCCCCCCGGGACCCAGCCGCAGGGAGCGAGCG